TTATTAGCTTTGTTGCCCTTCTCTGGACTCTCTCCAGTTCAAGGACAGCATTCCTGAAGATTAGTGACCAAAACTGGATTGCATACTCAAAATGTGGCCTACTAGAGTTTTGTAAAGTGGTAGAATTATAGTTTTATCTCTTGAATAAATACCTTTTTTATTGCATGATATTAGTCCTCTAGCTTTGTTTGCTTCAGCTTCAGCATTGCATGCTATTGCTGAGTCTGCGATCTAATAGGACCCCAAGGACCTTTTCTATCCTAGATTCCCCCAGAGGTTCCACCCCTAGTGTGTAGCTTGCTTTCATATTTGTAGCTCCCAAGTGCATTACTTTACAGTTTTATATTTTAAACCTCATCTGCCATATAGCTGCCCATTCCTCTATTTTATCTAGGTCTTCTTGTAAAGACGCTATATCCTTTTGTAAAGTTATTGCCCTGCTTAGCTTTGTATCATCAGCAAACCTGAAATTGAACTACTTCATCTAACCTCTGTATCATTTATGAACAAGTTAAGCAGAATTGGTCCCAGGACAGAGACTTGGGGCACACTGCTCACAACTCCAGACCATTCATGCCACTAATTACCACCCTGTAGACTCTCTACTGCAAGTGATCTGTTTAGCTGAAAAAACATAAAATCTCACTTAAAAAAAAAACTCTACTAACTGGCCAATTTTTATGTAGCAAGTTTAGTTCCTCTTTAAGTAAATATTCATTTTGCTAAGTGAACAGTCTCTACTCCTGTTCTAAATCAACACCAATGCAAAGGAAATGAAAAGATAGATTTTCATGTTTGTATTAAAGAACAACCAACCTGTATCTTAATTATTCTTATCTACATATGCAGTTATCATTATGTTAACTAGATCTAGTGCTGCCATTTTCACACAAGAGTGTATTACATCTTATAGCAGATTTTAAATTGATAATAGCTTTAGCTACTAAACCTTTCCATTTACTGTACCAGCTTAATGTACAAATCTGTATGTTTTATCTGTCTGCATTTTCATTCAATCAAAGGAAAACCATTATATAATATAATAAACAGTATACTACCCGCTTTATGCTATCCTGTTATGCCCTTGGATTGAGTTTGTATATGAAATTCTTAGAAGCAGAGATAGGACCCAAAAAGAAAAATGTTGCCTTGTCTTAGTCTTAGCAAGGAAAGGCATGCAGCTGCTGTGATTAAGGAATGTTGCTTTGCAGCAGGTAGGTTTATTACTCTAGTGTCATTATACAGATATAAGCTATAATCATGATGTCAAATGTATCAATAACAAACCTGCAAATCAGCCCACCAGTGAAGATTAGAATGGCACAGACATCAAGTATGTTCCAAGAATCATTGAAATACAGTGAAGCTTGTTTACAGAGACCAAATTGATCAGGGTCATAAATCAGCTACAACAAAACAAAAAAAATACAACAATTTAATTGATGTGCCGCATGAATATATTTCATTTTATTAAAGGGCATCACGGGGCCAAGGTTGAAATTTTTAGCAAAGTGTTCTATCTGAGCATCTCCTCATATTACATAAAGGTGGAATGGTGCCACGTCAGCACACATATTCTAAGTTGCCAGCACCAGAAATGTAATTTTAACAAACTGGTGCTTATTCACAAGTTAGGAGTGCTTATTCACAGGTCCCCAATCCCTCTCTACATATCAATTATAATGCAAACCACTCTATCACTTTAAAAGCTTGGAAAATTCTGAGGAAGATGAATGGCAGGTTCTGTTACACAATCCTCACCTACTGTTCATAAAGCAATACAGATAAATTATATAACTTTTTGGTACTGTAAGATGCCAATTGCTAATTAGAAGCCCAGCAGTATGCTTCACCAATCACATCTTATGAGGATTGCTTCAGACAATAGTATGAAAAACATTTTAGGCCTGTTGCCAATCTGCCTCAGTACTTATCCAGCTTAAAGGGTGGGTGCTCAGCTTTAATGCAAAAGTCATATTTTTCAGAATATGGGTCAAGATTAGCACAGGTAACGGGTCTACAAGCACCTATGCGACTGATAATATGGACAGCACGCTGTGCTGTTCACATTATCAAGACATGAAGGGTCAATGTCGCTTCGCTTCAAAATAGAAGCTTCATGTTTGAGTTTTGAAGGAGTTGAAGCATTTCAACTCCTTCCATTCAAGACTATAATAACACACCGCAGAAGCACCATCGTGTTTTACAGTGTGTTTGCGGTGCAGTTGCAGTGATTTCATAACCAGAAAAAAAATGGCATTTGTGGTGTTCTTAGGGTGTATGGGAAGCATCTTTAATGTGTGTAAAACAAGAGTCAAAAGCACCTATTAATGCTACATGTGCATTTGATAAGCATTAGCATTTTGAGTCAAGTGTGAGCAAGCCCTTATAAGAATGACAGAATGGAACAGTATGTCTATTCTGAAATAATAAGATTGCCTGTTTGTAGTAAAGTTCCACTTTAAATTATACATACTGTACATATTGGATTATGCAATTAAGTCATTCTAAACCTCTAGGAAATTGCTAAGGGTTAAGGTTGTAGCCCCAGACACATGTTAACCTTTACTCTAAACTGTTCTCTGCCATGATAAAGTGAATAGCAAGGAAAAAGCAAAGGCTGAAAAAGGGTATGATATTTATTAAAAACCCCCTGGTGGTATTCTCGAGTGTAGCTCGGGGTTAACTTTCAGCATCAGAAGCGGTAACCCCGAGCTACACTCGGGATTACCCTGCAGCGTTGCTCTGGGATCCCTCCAGCACTTACCTTGCCCTGCGCTCCCGCGATGTCCCCCCTGCAGCCTCCCCGGCCATCTCCTCCAGCCGATGCCGGCATCCGTCTTCCGTGTTCCCTTCCCTGCAAGTGTAGGGACATACGGGGGACGGAACCGGTGGGAAATTTAAAAATTTGACATTCATTCAATACACTAAAATCTGATAGTATTACATTACTGTATCAAACCATTTCACATACATTTTGTCCCTAGTGCTTTGTCCTGTGCCCTGCCTGCATTTTTACCGTTCTTTCTGCCTGGAAACTGAGAAACGTCCATGGCATCCAAAAAGCGTCCCTTTAGGTCAAAAGCGGTTTTAGACCAGCTAGAGAACAGCGATAGTAAATTAGAACCACTTGCAGAATTTAGTGATAATGATTCGTGGGGAAATTCATCATCAGACACTGAAAACGATTTTGTGACTAACCTCAATGATGTGCGAACTTGGCACTCTATTTCAAATTTCAGTGTTTTTTGTTTGATTACATTATTGAATTAAATGTATTATTATTTTTTATGATTATTTTTTATATTATAATTTATGATTTCATGTTTCAAATTCTATCATACCCGGCATGTTTACTAGACTCTTGTTCGGACAGATTTCAGTGAGTTATTCCTAAGAATTACAGGCGTACAATAAAAAAACAACATATTTTCATTGAAAACAATGTACAGCTTTGAGCACAGAAATATTGACATAATCAGACCGCTGGGGAGGTTAAGAGAACAGATTAAGGCCCCATTCACGCAGGTCAGAATCTGATTTGCTCAGCAGCGGATCTGCCCACTGATCCCCTGTTGTGCAGAGCGGGGAGATGACAGAATCTGGTCTGCTTTATGGCAGTCAGGTGCAAACAGGCTGTTCGTGAACACTTGAATACCTCCGATCCGATCTGCCAACATGCAGAATGGATCCTCTTCAGTTTGTTTGTGGCAAGTACCATTGACAACGTCATCTGTAACAAAATGCGTTGCGTGTGGCTTACAACTTGACATCATCATGCATGATATTGCTATTCCAATGTCTTCCCAGTCTGATTTTATATGGCATATTAGGGATTTTAATGTGAGTGTGCAGTTTTATTCCTTTATAATAAAGGGAATCAGTTTTTAAATTACTACACTATGGTTGGCCACCTTTATTCTTTATTTTGGCTTACTGTGAATACTCACCACTGAGAAGGAAGATCGTCACCCGCCTGCCAATGAGGATATTTCATACAGTGTAAACAGCAGGGTAGCCATCCAGCACAGAACTCAGATGCCAGTGCAGATCACTGTAGTGGTGATTTCAGTTACATGATCAGTTTCCAGCACTGGCATCAGTATACAGGAGGGACAGCCGACAACAGATTCCCCATAGTATGTCTAATGGGTGACTTAATCACCCAGGTTCTGCAACCATTGTCGTGATCTCTCTTCTACACTGGTGCCTGCGGTGGAGAGAACAAGTGGCTGAAAGAAAGCGACTTCAGAATAGGTAGGTATGGACATCTTTTTTTTTGCAGGGGAGATAGAATAGGCTTAAAAAGAGGTGGGGGTAGATTTAGGCTTAGTTAGGGCTCGTTCACACTTGACTGTTTTACCAACTCTTATTGCGTTTGGCAAGCATTGGTCCAGGGCTTGCGGAGCATTTTTTAACGCTCGGCAAACGTTCCACAAACGCCGCATGCGTGGTTCAGGGCAGTTGGTAGGCGTTTGCCGAGCGTTAAAAACACCCTACAAACGACTATAATGAAGTTTGAATGGTGTCACCGCTCCGCAAACGCCCCGCAATCGCGTCGCACCATAGACTAGAATAGGAGGTTTCAACGCCTCCTGACTCGACCAGAGGCATCCGTTTTGCCACGCCGCGCCGCTAATGCTCCTGTTAGAACAGCACCATGTGCTGCAATGTGCAGAACTGTCCGAGGCGTTTGGGAAGCAGTAAAAACGCTTCCCAAACGCCTTTTTGCCGCCTGCACACAACGCTAGTGTGAACGTAGCCTTAGGTTTTGACTTGTCTTCCACTTTAAGTTTCATTAAATTGTGAGTGTGGCTATGTTTATTGTTGCGAGGCAATTTTTATTATTTGTAACATCTGAAAAGAAACATATTAAACATCTATAAAACCATATTTACAGAAATATAAACAAATTACTCTTTTAAAATATCTGTACAACAATGGTGGACATGTCTTCATGTTCCTACCTGTCTTATTTCCTCACAAACAAGTGAAAAAAGCCAGAGGTAGATGACATGCTCCCTCCAGGAAGGCACAGGCTGAAAGTCAGTCATTAAAATGTATGCAAAAAGCAGCAGAAAAGCAAAGTATGATAAGATGTTCAGATGAAAAATCACTACCGGTGCCATGAAGAAAGCTTGAAAACGTTCCGTCATGCTCCTGCAGTTTGTCGTGTTTTGAACAGCTCTGTGAGGCTGAAAAGTAAAAATAATTTTTTGTAAATATTTTTTCTTTGCAGCTATTTTTTCTTGTTTCTTATTAGCAAGCACAACATGTATTGGGCATTAATATGCATATCTTTTAGGGGGGATATTTATAGAGCAGTGAATGTGACATTTGCTAAACACTCACTGAGAGTGAATCTTCCTTGTGTATGTGTTTTAAATTATAGTGACTGATTCTCCTGCATGAATGTTTGTGAATATAAATAAATAAATATGCCCTTAGGTTTTGAGGAACACTGTGCAGACAAGGATTCATACAAGGAATTCTAACCTGGTCACTTCTCTAATGATGGTGTATTGATTATTTGTGTTGTAGACCTTTATAGACCAAACTCTAACTGCCACCCACTCTATTTGAAACTATATATACTAGAATTAACCAAAAGCTTTTAAATTTTTGCCCATATAGACACAGCTTTTGTAACTGATTACAGAAATATTGACCTCCTCCTATCATCAGTATAAATATATGCGGCCCCACTGGAGTGGGCTTTTTTCGGTGGGGCTGCATATATGTGTATCTGTCTTTGTGCTGGGAGCGCACCGCACAGCGCGCTCCTAGCATAGAGACCAAGGTCTCACTGGCAATCCCAGGTCCCGTACTAACAATCAGGACCCAGAACTCTCAGTTCTGAGTTACCTGATCACTGTGATAGCCTCTGATTGGCTATCATAGTGATCAGTGACTGTGAAGCCCGCTCCTGTATTTTCTCTCTCTCTGAATGGAGGCGAGAGATACATTGTACCTCTCTCTCTCCTTGCAGAGAGGAAAAAAATATTAGTAATTATAATAATTAAAAAATAAAATAAAGAAAAAATACCTAGGTCATGGTTTGATGTAGGTCAGTGTCAGCATTAGTATTTGGGTCAAGTAAGGGTCAAAGGTTAAGGTTAGGGTTAAAGGTCAGTATATTTTGGGCAGATTTTTTTCTTTAAACATTTTTTAAGTTAGTTTCACTATCGGTTAGTGTCAGTGTGAATTAGGTAAGATAAAAAAAAAGCAAAATATGCACTATTCTGGGCTATACTAAAGGTATACACAACAAATAACATGCACATATGTGGTATCGTTGCGATTGTTGGGAGCAGGAAAATGTATTTTGTCTCGTTCTTTGGTGGTACATTATGGTAGTAGCAAAAATTATACAGCAAATTTAAATTTTTTTTTTTTTTTTTTACTATTTGAGCCAGTTTTCCTTTGATAAAAAAAAAAATAGGAGATACCCATTATCTTTTACCAGCAAATGAAAGCCCAATTTGTCCTGAAACAAAACACCTGGATGCACAAAGTAGTTGTGATGATATGTATCTGTAGCACTACTCCCTTAGCAATCAATGATTTTTGGTTCCCCCTATAGTTCTGCACCACCCACAACCAGGCAACGCACATTTTCTTCAGACCTTGCACACTGGAGACAGTAAACAGTCCTTGAGCTTGTTTTTTTAGTTTTATTAAGGGGTTATTGAACTTGGATGGGGTTAAGGGGTGTATGCAATGTCCAATAAACTGTGAACTTGAAGACAAACTCCTTAGCAACTATGTACAAGTCCATAGACAAAACGTCTTCTCTTGGAGAGCTCTCCAGCCCTCCTGGTGTACCACCACAGACCCCAGATGAAATTTCCTCCTCACCCAGCTGCCTGAAGGAATCCCTGGGCAAGGGGGCCCAGAAGCTGCCAGTGTAGTAAAGCAGCCCCAGTTGAGGAGCTAGTTGGGTTTGCCACCTGAATACCCTCTCCCCCTTCGGCCCAGGGGGTGTAGGATCACTCTATCAGTCCAGTCCTCTCCTGTAAGCTTGTGGGTTGGTGGCTGCCTTAAGACCTTACACTGGGCTGGCTCCTTCCCTGCTTTCCAGGCTGTCCTATCTCAGGGGATGGTGAGGCCGAGAGATCCTCCTTTCCATCTCCTGTCTGAAGGTGGGCCCCTCCCAGGCTCCACACTCCAGTCTTCTCACTCCATCTTCCACCCGACACTGACCACTTTCTGATGAAACTCTTTCATACTTAAGGGAAGCAAAGAAACACAGGGCCTCTAAGTGTGTACTGTGAAGGTATTTAATAGAAAGATAAGTAGTAACTCACATCTTAGAATTTAAAATCAGGCTCATGGGTAAGAGGGTGAGACGTCTATAGCCAGATGTTGTGTGACTGATCCAGAAAGGAGATTCATTGAGTCCACCAGCAGGTGGTGCTGTGCATGTGCAACATGGATGGCAAGCCTGGTGGAATCTCCAAGGTGTCCGCCTGCAGATGGTGCTGTGCATATGCAGCATAGATGGTGAAGCCTGGCAGAGTCTCCAAGATGTCCAAGCTCAGCGTGTGTGGCGTCTGACGTCATCAAAATCTCCTCTCTGGATCAGTCACACAACATTTAGCTATAGACATCTTACCCTCTTACCCATGAGCCTGTTTTTAAATTCTAAGATGTGAGTTACTACTTTTCTTTCTATGAAATATCTTCACAGTACACACTTAGAGGCGCTGTGTTTCTTTGTTTCCCTTCTGCGGAGTTATGCTTCGCTCCTACGCAGCTTGCCCTTAGTGCCTACTGGACTACCCTTACCCCTGCCCATTTGGAACGCATCAAACATACATGGACTGCCACACCATGCACCTGTTATCCCTTTTGTATTGACTCTCTTTCATACTTAAGGGCTGTTCTGACCCCATGCCAAGCCTCTTACTTGGGGATTGGTCAGAGTCCCTTGAGTATACAGATCTGCCCCACCTCACCCCCACCCATTGCCTTCTAGATACTTCTCAAACTTCTAGAGAAGGGTCAGGTATCAGGGAACTGACCTACAGAGCTCTCCGGACCTAAAGTTAACCTGGCTGACTCATCCCAGGCTGCAATCCAGCCACTAACTAACAAAAACCTAGCTAGCTCCCCCTGGCTAACTAGAGGAGCGCTGCATACTGCATACCTGTCAAGGTCCTACCTTTCCTCAGGGCCTGTGCTACTCCATGTGCTGGCATCCATCTTAGGTGTCTGCAAAGCATTGTGGGATCCTTTATGCTTTCAGCCCCTGCGGCTCCTCCCCCAGGAGGTGGTGGCTTATCACATATAAGTCTGCTGTTTGTAGCTGTCCATTGCATTCGTGTCCTGTCTGTTGCACAGCAGCAAGCTCCTGTTTAGTTTCTCATTGCTCTCCTGGATACCGACTCGGCTTTGGTAAGACTCCTTCCTGGCTTCTGACCCCGGCTCTGGGGACCATCCTTCCTGGCTTCTGACACCGGCTCTGGGGACCATCCTTCCTGGCTTCTGACCCTGGCTCTGGCGATCATCCTTCCTGGCTTCTGACCCCGACTCTGGCGACCATCAGGCGTAGACGGTTGCCCGCTCCTTCATACCAGGTCGGAGATCGGGTGTGGTTGTCAACTCGTAACCTCAATCTTCGGGTGCCCGCACTGAAACTGGCTCCCCGTTTTGTTGGTCCTTTCCGTATCCTCCGCAGGGTGAACCCGGTTGCCTATGCCCCTGCTCTTCCTCCTGGGATGCGTATCTCCAATGTCTTCCACATATCCCTGTTGAAGCCTCTGGTCTGTAATCGCTTTACTGCCTCTCCGCCTCAGCCTCTCGTCCTATCCAGGTTGACGGTCATAAGGAGTATGAGGTGAGCTGCATCCTGGACTCTCGGTTAGTCCGCGGTCGGGGGCAGTTCCTGGTCCATTGGCGTGGTTATGGTCCCGAGGAGCGTTCCTGGGTTCCTTCCGCGGATGTTCATGCTCCTGTCCTCCTCTTTTCACGCCCGCTTTCCCCAGAAGCCTTATGTTGAGCTGCGGAGGGGGAGGGGCCCTTGAGGAGGAGGTACTGTCAAGGTCCTAACTTTCCTCAGGGCTTGTGCTGCTCCATGTGCTGGCATCCATCTTAGGTGTCTGCAAAGCATTGTGGGATCCTTTATGCTTTCAGCCCCTGCGGCTCCTCCCCCAGGAGGTGGCGGCTTATCACATATAAGTCTGCTGTTTGTAGCTGTCCATTGCATTCGTGTCCTGTCTGTTGCACAGCAGCAAGCTCCTGTTTAGTTTCTCATTGCTCTCCTGGATACCGACTTGGCTTTGGCAAGACTCCTTCCTGGCTTCTGACACCGGCTCTGGGGACCATCCTACCTGGCTTCTGACCCCAGCTCTGGCGATCATCCTTCCTGGCTTCTGACACCGGCTCTGGTGACCATCCTTCCTGGCTACTGTTCTACCAAGTCATCCACTGTTGCTGTTGGACTTGCATAGACTCTGTCTTGTTTTTGTATAATAAACCTACCTTTAATTGCACCTCCTTGTGTGTCTGGCTCCTCGCTCCCTGACAATACCTAACACATTCCGCTCTACTTTCTCTCTTTAACTGCAGAGGGAACACTCTGGAAAGTGCATTCTCTCCAGACCAGCTGTCACTAGAGTGAAATTGTTATAAGTAAAAAGGAATATGTAATACTTTAAAAGCATTCTCATGTAAACGTATTGATGGTGAATGTAAAAAGTACCCGACTCTGTAATTATGCAAAAATCTAATAAAGATTATTGAAAGTGAAAAATGTAGTCCTGTTTACATGGGTCTTTTTTTTCCTCTAATGGATAGCTGTCATTGCTCTACTGAATGTTGATGAGCCAATTTGGCCAGTGTCTTATTATTGTTATGTCATTTGGACAGATTCATTCAAAAATCCAGGCTCAGGTTATAGAGGTACCACAAAACATAGCTCCATGGTGATTATTCTCTGATCGGGTAACATAGAGTGCAAGATGATTATATGCTTTAGGATATTCTTTGAGCTGAATCTTGGGGAACACTAGCTTATCATTACTGTTCCCCAAGATAAAACAAGCCCGAGTGTCTGCACAGAGCATAAACATCCATACTTACATCTGGGAGATGATCAGTGATTCTGACCCTGGCAAACCACCTTTATTGTTCTTTAAGAACCGCTGCATTCCCTATTCTAGTCATTCATCCCCAGAAAGGATCATAGCTGATGCATAGCTTACAAAAATGGGCTATATACATCCATCCAAAGAATAAAAGCATACCGCATAAGGCTTTGGGCAAAACAGACATTTTGTAGGCAGCGCTTGTTTCCTAAAATAAAAGGTCTGATAATTAGCTTGAAAGACATTTGTCTGTTCACATTAATTAACAATTTTGTGTCACCTCCTATATACAGAGATACATATCTTGATGAAAGGCTTTTTCTCCCTACCTCCCCAGGTGTACATTCTGTAGGAAACACGTCTATGTTATTTTCTTTCTTCATAACTTGATTCTGAATGACTTCCTCATCTTTCCTGTGATGGTAGTTTAATATAAATTTGGATATAGCAGACATTAGATTCCATTCATACCCAACTTGTCAACATTATTAGCTAAGGTTATTGCCCATAAAGTTTATAATTTTTCTTTTTTATGCAGTATAAATGATGTTCAGGAAGTAACTGCATTTGGCTGTGGCTGCCAGAGATAAGATTGTAGCTTGGGAACATCTAACAAGGCAAGCATCTCACATTATAGGATGGTACTACAGCACAAAATTCTATCAGCATAATTAGATCGATTACAGTGGAAGTGATAACCCATTATGTCAAATTTCTCAATTTAAAAGCAAGAAATCATAGCAACAGAGGAGCAGTTTAAACCATTATACAGTATATTATCAGTTAACATTTCTGCTTGTTTTCCTATAATTCCAAGAGCTAATACTAGTTAAGTAAGCAGCATGACTGACTTCAGTGAAACTGTATCTGTGTTCACTTTTTCCTCATTAAATAATGCTGATGGCATAGCTCAAGTAGAAGTGCATCAAGGTTGATTTACAAAAGGAATAGAGAATTTTAATTTTACATAGTAAATGTTCACTTAAATTATGGCTAGGATTATTTATAGCAGAAACTGGATACTGCTTCGTCCAATCAGCCCACCCGTTATTATTATATCACATTGTGTCTGTTTTTTCATCTCATTCTAAAACATAGAGCAGCTTGTCCTTTGGAGTATTCTCTGCATAATGCAGTCTAGAACTCTCAGGAACAGAAGGAGAACCCTATCACATGACCCGTTAAAGTCATATGTCAGGTTTACTCCTCTAATGGGGCTTTGCTTGCATGAAGGGCCCAAAGCAAGTAAAGAAAGTAGACACACGGCCAGGGGCAGACTGACCATTTGGAAACTCGGGCACTGCTCGAGGGCCTGGGGTCAGTAAGGGGCCCCATGAAATGTCCTTGGTACCTTTTTCATAGGCTTTTTTGAGTTTGGGCAAGGACACAGGGGCCCCATGATCCCTTATTGCCCGGGGGCCCCATGAGTTGTCAGTCTACCCCTGCACATGACTGTGCTTTGTAAATGTGCCAAAGGATTTTTTTGGTTAGGCCATACTTCTACTTTAGTGGACAAGTGAAGATGCTCTCATGCCAGTTGTTGAGTCATGTGCAAGGAAAGCTAACATAATAGGTAGATGTTTTGTGGTAAAACATGAAACTGTGTAAAGTAACATAGGATGTATAACATTATTATTAAATGCAAGGACTATAAGAACCAGTATGAGAAGCACTAGAAAAAATGGACATAAATAAGGACATGAGTCTTTAAAAAAGTATAATGCCTATTACATTCCTTCCTTGGTTATAAATTATAGTTCTTCACCCTTTTCACTTACTTACCTGAATGTTAACAGACGTGTATAGATGAGAGGAAAAAAGAGCATACAGACTATCACCCTCCATAATTCATTGTCGACACTTAACTCTCCAAACCAGACTCCAGTAAGGAATGCCTGTAAAAAGTAAACTCATTTATTATTATGACCAACAAAGTGATTCAGTAGCGCAAACAATCTATAAATATGTGAATAAATAAATAAGTGATCACTCAGCATAAGTGAAAAATCAAAAGTCCATAAAATGTCTCTTCCACCAAAAAAATATTGTAATTCCCAAAAAGAATTCACCACGTGCAAAGGATAGCATTCCCCATTTTGGGAATGCACTCACTGAATAGCCATGCCCCCCCATTCTCATGGTTGGCTGGATTCGCTTATTAAATAAATCCAGGTGGGAAGGAAGTCATCCAGTATCAATATTGTTTCACTCCTCTCTGTTTATCCTCTAATCTCCATGCCTGTCATTCCATGATCAGCTGACACCACTCCACAGATTATCAGATTCCTAATAATGAGGAGTTTATGGCAACATAGATAACACTCTCCTTCTCCTTTATCTTTCTCACAGGGAGGAGTGAAACAATATCAGTACTGGTTGACTTCCTTCACACCTGGATTTATTTAATAAGCGATTCCAGCCAACCAAGAGAATGGGGGGCATGGCTATTCAGTGAGTGCATACCCGAAAGGGGGAACGCTATCCTTTGCACGTGGTGATTTCTTTTTGGGAATTACAAGATTTGTTTGGTGGAAGAGACATTTTATGGACTTTTGATTTTTCACTTATGCTGAGTGATCACTTATTTATTCACATATTTATAGATTTTGTGCGCTAATGAATCACATTGAGGGTTCTTTCGTTGGCCATATTGATTATATTAGAAGTGGCAGCATTGTTTATTGCTATTTATATTTAATTAATGTATTATTTATTGTTTGATGTTTATTTAGTATCATGCATCTAGCGCAAATTTAATTTTTGCTTTTATATACACTCATTTATTATTATGTTTTGGGTGGTACATTCCTGTTGGATGCCATTAATATCATTATAGTGTACAATATGAGACATCAATGGAACTATGCAGCCTTCAGTCTAAGGTATAGTACAGTATATCTACTTTTGTGCAGGTGTAAAACTTCTTCGCCGCCTTTTAGTAATTTTTCAGGTAGAAAAAGGAGCCTTGTTACTAGTGAAAATAGTTGTTTCATTAAGAGAAGTGGGATAGGTGGCGGGTTCTGATGACTGACTACTATTTTCCTTTTTAAAAATGAAAAAGAGGAATCCACTAGTCAATATCCAATGTTGCAGGTGAAGATTGAGATTCATGGCTCAGTAAAGTTGATTTTCCCCATTCTTGTCACAGAGATGCACATTGGTAGATGTGCTTTCATCAATTTGCATACCAGGATATCAATGTATTTGATGCTATGTGTAATAATTCATGACACATTATCAGTTAGCACCAACATCTGCATGACAACAACATTGGCAATTAAACGGCATCTGCTGTCTTTCCATTTTGTTTATTTAATGTGAATCTATCAGCTATTTCTGTACCAGAAACAAAGTGGAATACGTGTCCACTGTTACTGATGAGTGGATATTTCCATACTTAGAGCCTTCAAGGATCAGGGTGTTTTATGACAGAAAATACAGTATGTTCTAACCATGAGAAAAGTATGGAGCCAGTCATTGCTGATCTTTTATTTTCTGAGAATGTTAGTTCCCTTTTCGGCCATTGGAATTATTATGGTATCAATGCTTTTTGAGTATCTGAGCAGAATCTAATAACGGTAGGAATTTCTGACACTCATTTAAACATACTTCTTACAGGTTGGTAACACAAAGGAATGGAAGCTAGACACAGTCAAACAAATAGTATTTTCAAAGGAGGGCCAGGAACTGCAGCCCTCATATTTAGCCTCAAAAGATCTGTGCTAACTGCAAAAACGTTTGTGTGTACAACTATAAAATATACTGTATATTGCTGTTTCTTAAAACTATATTATTGATGGTAAACATGATTTGAAAGTAACTTGTGTTTTATATAAAATACATCTGTATTTAGTAACCAAACCAACCTGGACACCTCCATGAGACACAAATTTCATGTCCTTAGCCTCGAGAGCTAATTTCAGACAGGTAGCTTGTCCCCAGGCTTCAGAAACCCGTATAAGTAGTTTTAGAGCGCTTTCCTCATCTTTTCTGTAACTTTCACTGAAAACACCTGAATTCACAGAAAAAAAAATGTTTGTTATTTACACAGACCTGGACTGCTAGCCATTTTCAGAGATAAGTTTCCCTGTAGGAGAAGATGCAGTACACCATAGACAACTCTGTCAACCTGCAAGAATTGAATTGCTTCAGGTAGAGAGCAGGGGCGGACTGACAACTCATGGGGCCCCCCGGGCAATAGGGGATCATGGGGCCCCTGTGTCCTTGCCCAAACTAAAAAAAGCCTATGAAAAAGGTACCAGGGGCATCTCATGGGGCCCCCTACTGACCCCGAGCCTTCAGGCAGTGCCCGAGTTTCCAAATGGTCAGTCCGCCCCTGATAGAGAGTGACTGTGTATGTGATCCCACTGAAGAGAATACCACCTCTTAAGAAAATAATAGGAGATTCTGGAACAGAAATAAAGAGAAAATCATCTGATGGGACACTTGTTTTGGTGGCTAATTTTTTAGGTTTTTGGGAAAGTCTTCCAATGGGGACGCTTGCTTTTATGGCTATGTACGAGGAATGTTTCCTAATTTTTTTTAGCTCAAGAGTGAATTACTAAAGGATTCAAGAATCTACACAAAATAATTTATGTGGTATTCACTTCAATTATCCAAGTATGCATAACACCAACTCCTGATTGCTTATTTTATCTGCACTTGATTGGATCAAATAAATATGCATACAATTTATTGTGTGAAGATTCTCAACTCCTTTAGTAAGTTTTTTTTACTTCCAGGTGTTTCAACAGGACAGGAAGTGGAAGAAAGTTATCCTAGAAGACACAGAGGGCAAACAATGGACAACTGAATGTAATAAAAATATTGATCACATAAAAAATAGGATACAAAAAAGAAAAACATATCCAATTTCCAGTTGATACAAGCAGAAAACCAAAATGGTTATTAACTCAACACTGTGGTCACTTTAAACTATTCATATACCAGTGGCTTTCTGTTCAAAGTCTTCAGCCAATGCCAACATGTCTTCAGATGGATCTGTGTCTTCTTCTTCTTTGGAGAGCTCCTTTAGAATCTTACTACAGCCCAGGGCAGCTGCTATGCAGTCGTGGCACTAGGCATAACAAACACAAAGACATAAAAATGTGCGGTTATTTCTAACAAGGTTTACAAAAGACCTATTTACATTCAGGTTACATTCTTTGGTCATACAACCCCACCAACACAGGAAGGAATGTACAGGGAGGCAAGGGAGATTAGTCCATGCTGTAATATGAAAGTACCAAGCCAAAAACTTTTCTCTAGTTTTGTATAGTGTGAGGAAGGATTATAACTCCTGTAAAGGTTTTACTTTTATCCAGCGCTCCATTAGAGATATTTACCTTTATTTCCTGTCCTGTGACAATGGTCTTAAAAGACAGTAAGTGAGGGAAAATCTGCAACAGGGATGCAGACAGTTAAAAAAAATATAACATGGGTTCTAGCTTTCCCCTGCTCCAGCAAAACATTTTTATTTCAGTCAGTGTTGCTGTTGCATAATTCCCATCACTTCCTGTCTGGTAAAATGATGTCAGCAGGACAGAGAGTAAAGCTAAACCTTTCTAACAGGACCCCAGAGAGCAGTATAAAGCTGACAGGGCTTCTAACCCTTCCCTGCTCTATCCAAATATTAGGGAAAAACATTTTGGTTGGACATAAACATTAACTTTTTGCTTGCAACCACAAGGGTTAGCATTTTATTTGATCATGCAGACTCTGCCTCTTTTCTGTGCTAACAGTTTGGATAGAAGTAGAAAAAGAGTAAGTATATCAGATCTTATGAACAAAACACTGTATATATATATTATACAGAGCTAGCAGCATATGGCTGCCTAACACCATTAACCACTTCCTGTCCGCTCTATAGCAGAAATACTGCCACAGGGCAGCACGGGTGCGCAAAATCACGTATATACATATGATGTTGCATTTCCGAGTAGGAGGCAAGCGCAAGTAATGCGCGTGCCCTACCCACGGTGTCATTTGTGGCCGCAGCTGTCAATCACCGGGCGCTGGCAAGTAATCACCGACGGGGAGGAGAACTGTGTGTAAACAAAACAGTTCTCCTCCCTGTCAGCTTGTGCACACTGATTTGCATGGCTGTGCACAGCACAGCCATACAAAGCAAAGCATAAACACGCGGCCCTATAGTAAAACACACCCAGCACACAGTTAACCCTTTGATAGCCCTCGTGTTAACACCTTCTTGCCCAGTGCCATTAGTACAGTGTCAGTGCTTTTTGTTTTAGCACTGATCACTGTATTGGTGTCACTGGTGATGTCAGTGACACCAAGTCAGTTCCCCCCCAGTGTCAGAATGCCCGCCGCAGTCCTGCTATAAGTCTCTGATCGCCGCCATTAATAGTAAAAAAAAAAAAAAAGTTCCAGTATATATACCGCCATTTGTATATAACAAACATTATAACTTTCAAGTAAACCAATTAATTTACATGTATTAGGATTTTTTTTTTAGCAAAGACATATAGCAGGATACATTTTGGCCTAAATTTTTGACGGAATTTTATTTTTTTATTTTTTTACTGGACATGTTTAATAGCACAAAGTCAAAAATATTGTTTTTTTTTTCTCAAAATTGTCGGTCTTTTTTTTTTATAGCACAAAAAATAAAAACCACACAGGCGAGAAAATACCACCAAAAGAAAGCTCAATTTGTTGGAAAAAAAGGACATAAATTTAATTTGGGTGCAGCGTTGCATGATCGCACAATTGTCAGTTAAAGTAACGCAGCGCTATAATGCAAAAAATGGCCTGGTCAGGAATGGGGGGGAAATCCTTTGGAGGGCAAGTGGTTAAACAACTCATTCAAAAGTGCTCAAGTGCTCATACAAATAAATATAAATATTACCTTTCCTAATAAAATCTAGCAAATCAAATATGTGATATAGTATCAATAAATAAGTTAAATCATAAGTGTCAAACGATAACCTCAGTGAGGCTGCCATTACACTACAGAGACAATTAAAAGAGAGAGGTGGAAGTGGGCAGAACTTCTACAGGTGAATTTGATTTTCGTACATAAATTCAGTGATCTACATGTCTGGACCTACTGATCATTGTTTTACCAAAAGTAACCTCTATTTTAAATTAATTTATCATATATATAATTTTAATTGCCCTGGTTGGAGATGTTAATTGCTATTCAACTTATGGTTTAAGAACCCCTACGACAAGTTTGGCCCCTTCCACTAGATTTCTGCCATGTTTGGGACTTATATTAAAAAGGATCACAGAGCTTTCCATGATAAATATGAAACATATCTAATGGTGGTTGTTCGCTATAAGCAATGTTATTAAACACTTATTACAATTTCCCAGTAAATAAATGATCTATTATTACCTGTGCCCAAAAGATGTTTGCAAGTTCTTTTCGGTTTTGAACAACAGCCCAAATAAGCAAATCTCTAACTGGATCCATAGAACAAGGGGGTTTTCCATGAGATCTTTTGTGAGAGGAACGAAATGGGTCTTTTTGTACCTAGAGATATGGCAAAGAAAGAAGTTTACATTTCCGTCATTTGATTTTGTTCTCTTTTATTTATAAAACACATTGTGGTAGATTTACTAAAACTGGAGCACTCAGAATCTGGTGCAGCTGTGCATGGTAGCCAATCAGCTTCTAACTTCAGCTTGTTCAATTAAGCTTTGGCAATAAAACCTGGAACCTGATTAGTTTCTATGCAGAGCTGCACCAGATTTTGCACTCTCCTGTTTTACTAAATAACCCCCAGTATAATGTGTCAATAACATAAAAATAATATGTCAATAACATAAAACAAAATTGGCCTGGTTAGGAGTTCATATGGGTAAAATTACATCAAAGGCATAAAAGCCGTTTTTGGCAACAGGCTTAAGCCAGTAGGAAAAAGTAAGGTTTGGTGGTATTAAGTATAGTAATTCACCAAGCCACCATTTCTCCTTTTTTTAAAGTAAAAAGCACAGTTGCAAATTTAGATAGTCACTACAAGAAGTAAATAACAAAAGGACACAGCTTTCTCAGTTTTCACTTCATTCACGATTTATATTTTTAATAATATAAATTAGTGCAGCGCTAAAATCATATAAAAACATATAAAAGAATCAATAAATTCAAAACAACGTCCATAAAGTCTATGAATTGTGATTGTTGAAACTAGTGAATACTGGTGGTACTCCTTGGGAAATTATAGAAATACGCACTCACCAGAAATAAATAGGGTATGAGCGTTGTATAAAAATCCCTCATCAGAGATCTGGTCAGAGGTCTGGTCAGCTTGGGCAATCCTCCCTTCCGTGTGATGACAGGACTCAGTGAAGAAGAATAAGATCCAGGTAACCAGAGGTTTCCTCAAAGGGGCTGGCTGGATGGAACTGCCTGTTTACAGGAAATCTTCCACCTCTTGGTATGGTGCCTGGGTCTTAAAAATAGGTACTCCTCTCAGGGAGTTTAGGGAAGGATGTCCATAGTGTAGTAGGTTGTCAAAAAGAACTTTATTAAAAACATTCAAAGGTATTCAAATCGCGATTAGAAGTTAAAATAGTATCCAGGTATAGTGTGAACTAACCCTGAGGATATTAAAGATGGCCGCCGGGCCTCCACGTGGCTCCAGCGGCGTAGCGTCACAGGCTCCTCCTTACACGTTACGTGCTCACCACATCATCAGAGGAATGGAACCAGTGACGCCATGACACGATGGCGAACTTATATGCGTGTAATGGCACGTGCGCGTGCCATCAAGCGCCATTTTACTGGAGCTCAAGGAGACTAGCGGTCAGCATATCAGACAGAGAGATCGCACTTAGCAGTATTTACACAGCGATACTGCTAATATTCATGCGGCCATGCTCAAATACAATCATATGAGCATATGCAAAAAATAACATCATAAATAGAAATAAAATAGTTAAAAACGACAAAAAATTCCATAGTTATCAGAACCAACATAATTAAATCAAAGGCAACAAGTAAGACTATGAAACCTGATAAAAGGTATTAAATAAAAAATCAAAATAATACTAAAATATGTAAATTCAATATATAAAAGAGAACAGTCAAAAAATGAATGTATTAGAAGTTGTCACATATGTAAAATAGTTATAGTCAACACTCAAAGTCATATGAATATACCCAGTAATACTAAACCTCTAATACTAGTAAGAAATTATCTGTTGGCGATAAAACAATTTAAGTCCAACTCGACGTTGAGACCCGCAGGGTAAAGAGTGTCAAGCTCAAAAATGTGTTTAGTCTCCAACTGTGAGACTGCTCTCGTTTTGTGTGTTCCCCTCCAGTGGGGGTTAACCATGTTAATACCAACAAACATGAGTGTTGAGGGGTCCCTATTGTGATGTAGCCTGTAATACAATGACAAGGAATGATCCTTGTAACACTTCTTGATATTGGCAATATACTTCCTGAGGCGGTCCCTCAGCCGAATCGAGTTGGACTTAAATTGTTTTATCGCCAACAGATAATTTCTTACTAGTATTAGAGGTTTAGTATTACTGGGTATATTCATATGACTTTGAGTGTTGACTATAACTATTTTACATATGTGACAATTTCTAATACATTCATTTTTTGACTGTTCTCTTTTATATATTGAATTTACATATTTTAGTATTATTTTGATTTTTTATTTAATACCTTTTATCAGGTTTCATAGTCTTACTTGTTGCCTTTGATTTAATTATGTTGGTTCTGATAACTATGGAATTTTTTGTCGTTTTTAACTATTTTATTTCTATTATGATGTTATTTTTTGCATATGCTCATATGATTGTATTTGAGATGGCCGCATGAATATTAGCAGTATCGCTGTGCAAATACTGCTAAGTGCGATCTCTCTGTCTGATATGTTGACCACTAGTGACCTTGAGCTCCAGTAAAATGGCGCTTGATCGCACGCGCATGCGCCATTACACGCATATAAGTTCGCCATGGCGTCACTGGTTCCATTCCTCTGATGATGTGCGTGTGCACGTAACGCGTAAGGAGGAGCCCGGACATCGTGACGCTACGCCACGGAGCCACGTGGAGGCCCGGCGGCCATCTTTAATATCCAGAGGGTTAGTTCACACTATACCTGGATGCTATTTTAACTTCTAATCGCGATTTAAATACCTTTGAATGTTTTTAATAAAGTTCTTTTTGACAACCTACTACACTATGGGCATCCTTCCCTAAACTCCCTGAGAGGAGTACTTATTTTCAGACCCAGGCACCATACCAAGAGGTGGAAGATTTCCTGTAAACAGGCAGTTCCATCCAGCCAGCCCCTTTGAGGAAACTTTGAGGTTACCTGGACCTTATTCTTCTTCACTGAGTCCTGTCATGACACGAAGGGAGGATTGCCCAAGCTGACCAGACCTCTGATCAGACCTCTCATGAGGGATTTTTATACAACGCTCATACCCTATTTATTTCTGGTGAGTGCGCATTTCTATAATTTCCCAAGGAGCACCACCAGTATTCACTAGTTTCAACAATCAGAAGTTCATAGACTTTATGGACGTTGTTTTGAATTTATTGATTCTTTTATATGTTTTTATATGATTTTAGCACTGCACTAATTTATATTATTTGTTCTACTGCATATATTGGTTGCTTTGAGTGCATAGCTGCTTTAGGATTAAGCGCTCACTACATACTTTTCTGTTTATTTTTAATAGCTCTGATCATGAAACTACAGATGGTGGACATTTGTTGCAATGATTTTTTTAAAAAAAATTAGATTGAAGAGCTTAAAGGGGAATATTTTAGCAATAAAATATACACATAAATAACATAAATGGAAGAATGGTGCCAGAAATATGAACAAACTTTAGCCTGCCACAGGACTGGGGACATCAGTACCAAATTAACAAAAATATAACTCTTTATTAATGTATTTATTTTAAAGATGTCATATTCGAGTATTAAAATATATAATGTACAAAATAAGAGATTATAAATCATTTATATTGCTACATAAAGTCAATGTAAATTAAAATAAATTGAACTAAACAAATCTGTATAAATTACCATTGGCTGCATAGATTTTGGTTTAAAGTTTGTTTTTTGATACCTTTATACATTACTTACAAAAATGAACCCTTTGACGAACTAAATCTTTGCCAGCTGAGAATACAGGAGTCCTACTAACTCTCTCTAAAAAACATATATTTTGATCATAACATTGTTTTTTGGGTAAAGAAGGTTTATTGGTTTTGTAGAGCTTTTTATAGTATGCAGGTATAATGGTACAGGTATACAGGTATAAGACATCCGTGTTGGGTTACAAAGTTCTACAGTGAAACTGTATTTTTATGCAAGGTCTGCTTTAATATCAATGATCAATGATCATGGAATGAGAAAAGAGTATACTGAGTCAGGGAGAGGTAGGGGACGCTCTCCTTTGACTGTATGGTGATTAATCCCAGAGAGTCCAGGATTGGGAGAATAGCTCTAAGGTGTCCCTAATTGTGGCCAAAAGATATTCCATCCTATGGATGTTTGCAGTAGTCTCAATAAGTTGTGTTTGAGAGGGGATTATGGTAGATATCCAAAAGAGAGATATTAGTATCCCAGTCACCATTAGAATAATTGGCTAATGTCTTTGAATATTTTGAAATACCTGGAAATGGTAAGCCTAGGAGACAGTGTATGGGATTTAGTGGTAAGGAGACATTAAGTATTTGTCTCAGTTTATATCACGTCTTGATCATAGCATTTTTTGGCATCTTTAAATTTCTTTTATGTAATTGCTAATTTGTCATCTTTATCAAAGTAATTGGCAGCAGAGGAACTACTGCAGCCAACATATAACTTTAAGTATATAGATGTACACTCATATGGAAAGAATACCAGCTTTATATAAGAAAAAATTAGCTATAGTACATACATCCAATGTACAAACAGGTATTATAATCCACAGGCCCAGCAAGAGTCTTTGCAATTGTGCACATATACCTGGGTATATATATTATTATTAAAGATACCTCCAGATAAATGTTGCAGCAAAGTTGCGGATGCCCCTGAGAATGATCATGATGCAGCATCCATCTTTGTGTCAGAGATCTGAAGGCAAGATCAGCAGTGACGGAGATCTTCCAACCATTGCCCAACCAGTCTGGAATGCAGCTTCTCACCAGCAGAAATTGTGACGTGGCACAGGAACACAGAGTCAGCTTATCTACTCCACATCTTAGCCCCTATTAGTTTCTAATCTGTCATGCAACTGGACCTCTAATTACCAGACGTGGCTGTTGGATGCCTAACTTGGCTCTAGTCTGTGCTGGTTCTTGAGCTATAAGCTAAAACTAACTATAGAAACTCAGACCAGAAGGGACATGGTTAACAAGAGCTGCATATAAATTGAATTGCACTTGTTTTCATCCAGTATAGACAAGATCCATAGGCTAACACTGATAAAGGAACACTGAATCACCACTTTGCAACATTATTCAGCAGGAACATCAGCCTGCATACACTATGAGCAAATTGTTCAACTGGGCAAAAGTAAGACCCCCATCACAGGTCAATGAGTGGCACTCTGTGTAGTGCATTGCTGTTCATTTATAATGCAGCCCAATGCATAGTACAATAGGTGTCAGCAGACCCTCACTGCAATGCACCACAACATAAAATGCATTGGGGTGTGCTGCATTCAAAACGTAGATGCAGGTCTGGTTTTCATTCGATTGACAGCCCATTAAAAGTTAATGGATTGCCTGAACACAGTGTACATCATTGTGCAAAATACCACGTCAACATGTGGTTGTTAACACACTACTATGAAACAGGCAGATGGAATGGGGCCCTGAATTCTTTAGTGAGGTAGCAGGAAGGGTTAGTGAACAATTTTTTTTTTTTTACAGTCATTAGTACCAAGTGGAGACACAGTCTATTCACCTCATCATCAAATGGCCACTTCTGCAGTTTCATTCTATGCACATACAGTTGTGACCAAAATTATTCAACCCCCAATGCTGTAAAGGGGTTTAGGGACTATAGTGTACATTTGGAATTGTATTCAGAATCAAATCCTACAAGGACGTTGTAACTACCCAAATGCAACTAAAATGACATCAATTGTTTATGTAATACAGTAGTAAATGGTTCTTATGTGGTTTCTTCATTGCCACAATTATTCAACCCCTTAAAGACTACCACTCTGAAGAACAGAGGTTCATACAGGTGCTTTCCATCAGGTATTGAAAACACCTGTGGATGTCACCGAGCAGCAATCAAGCATAATAAGCACCAATTAGGCAGCTTTAAAATGACTGTGATACTCAGCTCCTTCTAGACATTTACTGGTGTGGTTACAAACATGGTGAAGGCAAGAGAATGGTCCAGGAAGACAAGAGAAGAGGTGATTTCTCTTCACAGGAAGGGCAATGGCTATAAGAAGATTGCAAAGATGTTAAACATACCAAGAGACACCTTAGGAAGCATCATTCGCAAATTCAAGGCAAAGGGCACTGTTGAAACGCTACCTGGTCGTGGCAGAAAGAAGATGCTGACTTCGACTGCTGTGCGCTACCTGAAGCGTAGAGTGGAGAGAAGTCCCCGTGTGACTGCTGAGGAACTGAGAAAAGATTTGTCAGATGTGGGTACAGAAGTTTCAGCCCAGACAATAAGACGCACACTGCGTAATGAAGGCCTCCGTGCCAGAACTCCCAGGCGTACCCCCTTGCTGTCTCCAAAGAATAAGAAGAGTCGACTGCAGTATGCCAAAAGCCATGTGGACAAACCACAAAAGTTGTGGGATAGTGTTCTGTGGACTGATGAAAACAAAATTAGAACTGTTTGGGCCCATGGATCAACGCTATGTTTGGAGGAGGAAGAACAAGGCCTATGATGAAAAGAACACCTTGCCTACTGTGAAGCATGGTGGAGGGTCAATCATGCTTTGGGGCTGTTTTGCTTCTGCAGGTACAGGGAAGCTTCAGCGTGTGCAAGGTACCATGAATTCTCTTCAGTACCAGGAGATATTGGATGGAAACGTGATGCAGTCCGTCACACACCTGAGGCTTGGGAGACGTTGGACCTTTCAACAGGACAATGATCCCAAGCATACCTCCAAGTCCACTAGAGCATGGTTGCAGAGGAAAGGCTGGAACATTTTGGAGTGGCCATCGCAGTCACCAGACTTAAATCCGATTGAGAACCTCTGGTGGGACTTAAAGAAAGCAGTTGCAGTGCGCAAGCCTAAGAATGTGACTGAACTGGAGGCCTTTGCCCATGAAGAATGGGCGAAGATACCCGTAGATCGCTGCAAGACACTTGTGTCAAGCTATGCTTCACGTTTAAAAGCTGTTATAACTGTAAAAGGATGCTGTACTAAGTACTAAGATTGAATGTCACTTGGGGGTTGAATAAAACTGATAATGCTGTGAGCACAGAAAAGACATTTGTGGTTATTTCATTATAACTGTTATGTTATATTTGTCTGACCTACAAGTGCCTCTTTAATGTAAATGTAAGCAAGATGACTGAATGATCAAAAGCAATGTCAAACTGGCCAAAACACTCAATTTCAGTGGGGGTTGAATAATTTTGGTCACAACTGTAAATTCAAATTTTACAGTTCAAGAGATAAAGGTATAATTGTATATTGCTTTCATTTCTACATTTTAAGGATTCAGTATTGGCAGATCAACAGTCTGTTATGATGTTATGTTATAACAAAACATATTAGTTGACCTAAAATGCCTAAACATATCTTGATCATAAATCAAATTTATGATGAAGGCATAAACCTACATTTATTTTGATGTGTGGGACTATAATTGACAGCCGAGACGATTCTGCCCTTTTTGGCTTTGGATACAGATGTTTTGTGAAGCCACCCAGGAGTTCTCTTAAAACTTGAGATACGTGGTGAAGACAGAGTTTTGGTGTCGCTGTAAGCTTATAACGAACCTTTTCATCTTCTAATATTTTAGCAAGCTTGCCATGGAATAAGCATGATGGATCTGTGTTATTGTAGAGGTTTAATATAGTTTCTTGAGTGGCGTATTCTTCCAGATGGACACCATGTTCCAGGAAAAGCTTTACAAAGGCAGGCTTATTGTCAATCAATGCTGTTGTCATGACTGGGTGCAGATCTGAGGGCTTGGAAGAACAAATCACAATTAAAGTACAAAAGACACTACATACAGAAGAAACTAACAAGTGGATTTAAAGGACATCAATATTGGTTGTTTTTCAGTGCTTTTTTGTCAACATTCATTTGTTCAAACTTACCTAGCTATGTGGGGCACATAGCTAACTACCCTTTATATTAGTAATTGCAAACTATTACGAGATTAGTCACTTTACCTAAACCTTTCCTGTTCAATGATCTATACTAACTGCTGTGCAAAAGTATGCAGAACACTCTCTCAATTTAGCTGTGTGGTACCCATAGACACTTCCATCTGAAAGCCATCTAGAGAAATAGCAATCATTTACTTTATAAAACCTTGTCTGATTTTTGTTGTGTTTCTACTGATAAACTAGTTTCAGTGACACACCTCCAATTCTCATGTAGCATAGGCTAAAATTAACAGTCACACAAAGCAACCATTGATGTTGACGACCTTGCCAGATGCCTGATGCCTATACTGTGTACTACCACTTGGGTAACTAACATCAATATAGCAGTAATTAGTAAGTAAAAAAAAAAAAAGGATTTCTATATGCAGCAGGCATTGGATGTCTATGAGGCCATAAAGATAGTTATGGAATTAGATATACTGTACCATAGTGTTACAGTATATAAATAAAACATGTAATTCTTATTACAAAGAAATGGACAAAAAGTAATATGGTTAGTGGGGTCAAATTGATAGTTGGTTTTGACCATAGTGACATTTTGAAGAAGCAGAGTGGATAATTTTTCTCAACTGTAAAAAAGGTTTTTGGTTATTTTTTGGGGGAAACATTACACATATAATGTGTATGTTCTAAAAAACAGTTTAATACTGTACATCTAGAATGCCATTCAAGTAGCAGGCCTGAATGAAATTTTAAAGGTTTTTAGAATTCCTGTACAAAAGTTTGAACAAATATGACTAGTGTACGGTCAGCTTAGGTCACAATCAGTCTAATTCGTTACAATACTAAATAGTGTGGTAACTCTTAAGTACAAACTCTGATAGCAACCAGTCAGCCTGTATATGTTCTCATTTGAATTCTGCAGTGTGAATTTTAGTTGGTTGGTAAATGGATTGCTTGACTGGATGGATTGATACATTTAAAGCTAAAGTTTAAATATATAGTCTTCTTTGGGTTGCAGAACGAAAACATTTAGTTGTGTGAATCCCATTACTTGTAGGTGTCTGTTTCTGCTACAAATACTTCCTGGTTGTGCCTCTTTGGAGCCACTTGATACTGTCTTGATTAGCTGTCTTACTGCCACTGAAAAAGTTGCACAGGGCACTTGCCACTTTCTACTCTCTCTGCCATTCATTTCCACAATGCATCATGTTTTGTGAATGGGTGATAGAGCAGCTGAATTACAGGATTCCTCTGCCCATTTACAGAACATGATGCATCGTGTAGTGTAGTAATACGAGTCCTGTGAATGGCAGAGGAGGCAGAAGGGGGTGGGTTAGCCTTCATTTTGACTTGTGCTGTCTGAAGCACGATCCATGGTCAGATAGCTCTGCAGAGGGCAATAGACAGGTGGGGAGAACGTATTGTATTGCCTCCTCACTGCCTGTTTTAACTCTCTATTTGCCAGACAGGCATTGTGCACAGTTGTGGGTCAGATACAGAATGTCACTATTCATATGAATGGGTCCTGCATGGTGGGCGGTACTGCCCTCTGAGCGTGTGAGAGGGTATAATTCCTGCAAAGCAAAGCATTGCGGCCGCGGCATGCGTACATCCCTGCCTGCTGCCTCAGCACAAACATTTTTCCTTGCATTTCTATTTTAAACTGAATGGATTGCTTTACAAGGTAGGGGGTTCACATATACTGTAATGACTGAAAATATGGTTTAGCTTATTAACTAAATAGTTTAATCAGCTAACACACCTTCCACTGATGATCATCTGTGAATATCTCACTTCTAGCAATGTCAACTCGGTTCCATGCCACTGCCAGCTTCAGCTGGTGCTCCCAGTTTTCATGTCCTTGCTGGTCAAGTCTTAGAGAGGCTAGAAAAAATAGAAGACATAGTACTAACAATAAACAATTCAGTTATGTAAGTCTAACCTTTTTTTAAAGTGTTAGAAATGACTGAGAGGGAATTTTCTTGTGCCAGAAAACAAACTCAAAGACTTTTTATATACATTTTGGTGGTAAAGGAGACATTTTCAGGGCCACACTTTTGGCAGTGCACCCAATCAAGGATGCTTCATGAAGGAGTCCTACCACTGCTTCAATTTCATATATATCTGGCATGCAGGCAGCTCAGAACTTCTTATTCATTTAAGACAGTTGCATTGTGGGAACTATTAATTCCCATCAAGAAAGTCACCAGATCTGGTTGACTCCATCCCAAATTCTTCACTGCATACTTCACAGAACTCAATAGTCTTTGAATCCTCCCTCTTTATAGTGTGACTGGAGTTAAGCTCTTCCAAACACTTGGATATATAAAAAATATAAAATGTCTTCTTGAAACAATTTTTTCTTTAAAAGCAAAACATAACATAAAACCCCATCAGAGGTTAAACGTTTTCCTTGGAGGTACACAGCTGGCAATACCATCCAACCCCAGGATTTAGGGGGACACCAATTAGTGATTACATGGTGATCTCTATCCATCTACTAAGAGCTTAAAATGTCTTTTCATCTCCAATTCAACATACAGCTTCAACTCACAAATTTCTCACCTGATTGAATCAGTACTCAACAACCTCCAGGGAGAGCAGCTTGTTGTTGCACACTGCTTGAGGGCCCCATCAAAGGGCATTTTGTATAGCAAGTGAGAGTTATAAAAAGTGTTCAATGCACTAAATACCTTTAAGCAAAGCTTGAATAATGGCATCATCAATGTTATGCTGATCATCTTTGTCTGCTTGGAAGATGGTAAGTAACTGACTGTGCCTCATAATATCTTGTATCTGGAAAAATAAATATTAATCTGAAAAATAAACTATAATTAACAGCATTACAACATCACTGCCACATCCTTACATGACTTGTGACCCCTTCACATCCTGATGAGGACAATACAGCATTTTCTTCTAAACTGTCCCATTCAGTCTTTTCTAATTAAAGGTGAAAACTTGTTAGGCAATAATATGGTGGTAAGGAATTTCATTTCAGACTTTTTCTTAGTCAGTCTATCTATCTATCTATCTATGTATATTCATATTACGACTTGAAGCCACCAGGTAGCAGATGTGGGGCAAAGTTGTCACTGACTCCTTTTAGTGCTATGATGTGAATAACCTGTATTCTGAATATAACCAAACAGTAAAATATCTTACAAGCTGGTGTTGTATTTTCCTACTAGAAAGTCAATCAAAGTCCTACAAGTAGAATATCATTGGATATCTCTGTAATAAATATTTACAATGTTTACAATTGTGTGAATGTTTACTTCGATTATCAAGCACTGGCAAATGAAATAAGTAAATGTGGATTTACATTTTATGATTGGACAATTGAAGTGAATCACCACAAAATTTATTTTGTGAACATTCTCAACTCTGTTAGTAAAGCAGCCTCAATGTATAAGTTTAAAAATATGTAAGCAAAAATTAAATAAGCCTAATTAAAAAGCAATGTAGTTTTCCTTAAGAGCAAAACTGCAAATACTGTCTGTACCATCTTGCCCTCGTAATGGTGTATAGGGTGCTTAAAAGACGAATCTTTTTTCACTTTATCCAAAACTGAAATCAAATTGCTGTAGCTAAACTATAATACATCCAACACATAAAAGCATTAACAGTGAACAGATCAGGCTTTATGTTTTACCTGTTTAGTCAATTCCACTATCTTGTCCTCTGTAAAGGTGTCACATTTATCAGGAGAAAGAGTGGGCAGTTTTTCTTGAATGAGAGAGACTGTAATTTTTGAAATGGGAAGTTGTGCCACCTGAGCAATGAAATCAGCTGCTCGTCCTGATCCTTCCACAATGACACATGGTGTGTTGTTGCTAATAGCATTATAGATTGTCTGCGGATAGGAAGCATAGAAAGTAATACTTTTTATAACTGTATCAATTGTTGTAATACCCCACAATTTTACTTACAGTGAAACAATACTCAAGATTATGCTGCTCTAAACTAAAGCCATACATGGATTGAAATTCGTCCAGGTTTATCAGGGATAGTCCAAAATTTCGATCCATGTATGGGCACTGTAGTTGTACAGAAGTCGTCGAATACACAATTGACATCTGTACAACCAGCCCTATTGGATTTTCCCTGTGTGATCAGAGCTGCAGGCCTGCAACGCTGACCAGTGTATTTTGATGGTGGGGAAGTTTTCCTGCTGTCGGAATACAATGACACAGCAGGAAGGATTCCCTTATCAACCCTAAATGAGTGGATATGGGTCAGTTTTTTGTTTGTTCAAAAAAGAAAAACTTACTCATCTATGGGCTGCCTAACGCTGTAAGCTGAGACAATATAAGGACATTGACCCAAGCAGTAGTGTCCCGAGTCTAAATTTAGTGCTGCTAGGCTGTAATCTGCCTTAGCTGAAGTGATTACGGTTTGCCTCTGTGTAGAGTGTCCCTTGCAATAGTGTGAGAAAATGCGATAATTTGGAGTTTTGAATATTTATGTCCCCCTAGCAGGCCCAGACTGTGACAAAAAACAGGCCTTGGCGTTTCAGAATGAGCAGCAAAATTTTCTAGGGAATGGGGGGGTGGGTGTTCGCGGGTGTGGCTGGTGATGGGATACTCCTGGAGTCAGCCCTCTACAGTGTAATGTAAAGGGGCACTGTGATACCAAGGGGGACTGCACTGTGAAGGGGCGCTATAATGATTACAGTACCCCTTTACAGTGCAGTACCCTTTATATCACAGTGCCCCTTTACATTATAGTGCCCCTAGCAATCACATCAACCCATTACAGTGCCCCTTGCAATCATGCCCTCTCTTTTCTCTCTTCCTCCCCTGCACAGTCCTACCTTTGCCAGGGCAGAGGCAGGATTCAACCCCTGTGTCCTCTCCTGTGTGTCCCATGGACAACGTCATCCTATCAGCAGGGCGGGAGGCAGCAGGAGCTTCAGATCTGAATCATATTAACAAACAGGTGACTGAAGATGACATTGTTGGTGGGGCGGAAGAGCAGGAGGTGAGCAGCGACCGTGGTCTGTGCGAATCCTGCCTGGACCGTGGTCGCCACTTACCTCCAGCTGTGCAGCCCAGTCACAAACAGGCTGCGAACTGGTACTGGTTCGTGGCTTGGTGTTTGGGGACTCCTACACTAGCCAGTCTGGTCCTAGTCACAACTCCCACTGCACCGGTGCGACCAGTACAACTGTCTGCTGCAACCCCCCAACTCCCCACTGCACTCACCTGTCCAGGTGTTGCCTTCTCCACCACATCGTCTATGCCAATGCAATGGAGAGATGTCCACCAGGCTCCCACTGCAATCCCTACTCACTCTCCTGCAGCTTTGATCTCCCTTGTTCTCCAGCCGAAATCTCCTCTCCTCCAGCCGCGATCTCTTCTTCTCCAGATGCGATCCCCACTCTCTTCAAGCACTCACAGCCAAGATGTCCACTGAACACTGACTGCGATCCCTGCTGCAAACAATCCCCCTCTCTCCTCCTGCTCCTCTCAAATGTGGTCTCACTGTTTCACTCCTCCGTCCCAGCCACTCACCACTCCAGTACCTCCGACCTCACTGCTTGGCACTCACAGCACATCACCCTGCATTAAAGACAGCCCAGGTTCTGGCCCTAGGACATGCAGCCCTTGCCCACCAGACAAAAGCCTAGTGTGCTCTATGGCCAGTCCGGGTCTGCCCCTTAGTCAAACAATTGGAAGTTTATTTCCAGTGGTATATGCTGGGAAAGGATATAAATATATGGAGTGCCTTTTGAAAATTATCTTTTTCCCAGGCCTTCAGCCTGGGGAGGATGTGTTGCTGGAGCTTTCATTTCAATTTCCACTTCTTAAAGCGCAACTCCACCTTTTTTTCCCTGGACCCCACACCCCTACCTCCCTGAAAACCCCTGAATTTTTTTTTTTAAAACCCATTATACATGCTATTTTAGTGAAGTTCCTTTAATAACCCTCCACCTTCTTGAGTTCAGCTGGCAATATGAAATACTTACCTTTGTTCCAATTCTAATTCCAGTTCCAATTCTGCTATCAAATAGACCCAATCAATAATTTGAAATAATAGCTATAAAATATATTACTTCTTTAAATTCAGAGATTTTTACTGTGTAGCCCAACGCAGTTTTTCTGGGTAAGAGTCATGACAGTCAGATCTTTTTCATAGTGCGCAAATGTGCCATGTATGGGCAATCCGGTAGAAATGGTGGGCTCACAGGGAATGGGCTAAACTATTCTGGGTGTCATTCAACCCAGAAGTCGACAGGCATTGAATTGCAAAGCAGTCAGTCAGAGGGCACTTAAGAGGTGGTAGGAACTGCAGTGAAAGCTTTTTTTTTTCAAATCACAAAATTGCTGGGCTATTAATTTTTAAAAGACTTGTATAACATTGAGTTAGATTTTAATTGTTCATGTGTTTAATTGTGCATGATTTTTAAAAAGACTTGTATAACATTGAGTTTAGCTTTAATTGTGCAGGGTAGATCTTTTTTTTAACAAAAGTTGTTTGAAAAACTATCTCAGTTGGCTTCTTACAATAGTATGTAGATGCAGGGATTGCAAATACACAAGAACTGTTGCAATTTTTTTTAAATGGCAGCCTGAAATGTTTGTTCCTAATTGTATGTAAGCAGGTATTGTCAGTGGCATAGATAATTGTAACTTACATCTAGAGTGCCTGTTCCTCCCTCCAGTACAACACAGACTATAGGTATCTTGATTGCAACTCCTAGAAAAAGTAAAGAAAAATACATTTATGGTCACAAAACTGGGTGTTTTAGTACTATATATTGTGGCAATGTCTTTCATAGAATAAGACTTTGGTATGTAATCTAACTAATCATGTGTGATCTGCTTATCTTACATATCTTTCTGTTTTCATCTTCTACCCTAATTCCCTAATTTTTATTTTTCCATGCCCTTCCCACTTCTGGTAATACTGCAACAATAAATTTTCATTATATTTGTGACAGAACACCTGTCATCGTAATTGGGTGATTCTGTCAGGGACCCGCTTCCTAGCCACTGGGACACAGGACCAAGGTATTATAGCCGGGCATTGCTCCCAACACTAGATGAGATTAGGTCAGCTGCCAAACTGGAACTACTTTATTGAACAACAACACAGGTTTTTATATACTTCAGAAATAGGGGCAGTCCCCACACTAAAGCAAATATTAAACATTGAGATAAACATCCCATGCTGATTAGGTAAGAGCTTGATCACATTATCCTAAACAGTGTAAACGGTAAACATTAACGCTAACAGTGATCTAATTAACAGTAAACTAATCAACAGCTAAGCACACAAACAATGCTTTGATTAATCAGGGAGCCCATGGCAGACAAACTGGTAACAAACCCACCCCTCAATACACAAAGTATCTTTCCATTCACTCCAGAAGGGAAGTCTTTATGCAGAGAATTAATCAAAGCCTTGCTCTCAGCTTTCATTACCTTAGTATGCAACATCACAGACTGATCCGCTCTCTCCATGTGTTTAGAGTCTGAACCAAGCTCTCTTTTCCATGCTCTGCTTGGATGAAACAGATAAAATCCCTGGTCTCCTCCATGGGCCATAATCAGTGGGTAGAAATCTATCACCTAGTCCCCTCCAAAAGCCCCTGTTCTGGTTGGGTCTGTCACAATACTGATGATCCAAATTTTTATGACTGACTTTTGGTTAATTATCCCTAGAGTAACTAAACATTCAGCAGAAGTAGAGCTGGGACTGGCTGATCCTCAATCAACAACCTGCTTTTTGACTTAACCTCATGCGACATCATGGGATGTCGGGATCTTGGGGTTTCTGCAGGTATGGTACCTTTACCAACCATTTATGAGTTGAAACTGGAATGTTGAGACTGAAAAAGGAGAAGTGAACCAATTTTTTAATGGTAAACCTGCTTTAACAGCAATAAAGATGATTCACTTCATTGATTATTTTTAAGTAAAAAAATTATTCTGAACTAATCTACACAAACTATCTGTATTTTTTGTAACTTAACTGGGCATCTCTGAGACTTAATGGAAATTTTAATGTTTCCAGACCTTCATTATGGAACTCATATTCTGTGTGTTTTAATGGAGAAAATTAGGATATCTCCTCCTCAAAAAACTACACTCCCTTGGCCTCAGAGATTCTGCTCTCTCCTGGCTCTCATCCTACCTGTCACAACGCTCTTTCAGTGTTACCTATAATGCTACCACCTCCCCCTCACTCCCCCTCTCTGTTGGGGTCCCTCAAGGCTCCGTCCTCGGGCCCCTTCTCTTCTCTATCTACACCTCCTCACTTGGCCAACTCATACACTCTCACGGCTTCAACTACCACCTATATGCCGGCGACACACAAATCTATCTCTCAACCCCCCACCTCACCACCTCAGTCTCCGCCCGAATCACACACCTACTGAGCGACATATCTGACTGGATGTCGCTCCACTTCCTTAAACTGAACCTCTCCAAAACCGAGTTTCTTGTCTTCCCCCCAGCCCGGACACCACCCCCCATTGACTTCTCCATCACATCCAACAACGCCACCATCAAACCCACCCCGCAGGCCAGAGTACTTGGTGTCATTCTGGACTCCAACCTATCCTTCCAGCCCCAAGTCCAATCTTTAACAAACTCGTGCAGACTCCACCTCCGCAACATCGCCAAAATACGCACGTTCCTAACCCCAGAAAACACTAAACAGCTCATCCACTCCCTCATCATATCACGACTCGACTACTGCAACTCCCTCCTCACTGGCCTGCCTTGCGGCTGGCTATCCCCGCTTCAGTCAATCCTGAATACGGCTGCCAGACTGTCAGGAATGGACTTGCCAATAGTGGTGGGACTCACCTGCCTTGTGGGCTGCAGTACCAGGGCTGGCCAGCGGGTGCTCTCAACAACCAGAGGTTCACTTCGGCAATTAGCTATCACCTGGGGCTGATTGCAGGTGGTGTATTTAAGGGATGGCCAGACCTGCAGTCTGTGCCTTGGTGTGTGTTTTTCCATGGGCCCCTGTATCTTGTAACCTGCATTCCTGTTCCTGTTTTTGCCTGACTTGTTGCCGACCCTGCCTGATCCTGACCTCTGCTGACTTCTCCTGTTTGATCCCTGGCTTGTGACCCTCTCCGCCTGCTCCTCCTGTACCTACCTGCCCGATAGTTATCGACCCGGCCTGCCTGACTACGTTGTGCTCTATATGTGTATGTACCTGTGTATCTATATCAGTTTAGGTTTGGGTTTGTTTCACCTTGTTGTATGTATTTGTGTTAGCTTGGGGTTTGGTGCACTGCTTTTATATTTGTATTCTTAGTCTCAATAAATTATATTATTTACTATATCTTAAGCCTACGTTTCCCTGTGTCAGTCCACACACTTCTGGTCGCACCCGCATCCCTGACACAGACTCATTCACCTTTCCAACCGCTCCGTTTCCGCCACCCCCCTCTGCCAATCCCTCCACTGGCTTCCGATTGCGCAACGGATCAAATTCAAAATCCTAACACTGACGTACAAAGCTGTCCACCATACTGCCCAAAACTACATCACTGACCTAATATCCAAGTACCGCCCAGCACGCACACTCCGCTCCTCACAAGACCTCCTCTCTAGTTCCCTGGTCTCCTCCTCCCAGGCCCGCCTCCAGGACTTCTCCAGGGTGTCACCCATCCTCTGAAACTCCCTGCCCCAAACCATCAGATTATCACCTACTCTCCTCTCCTTTAGGCGCATCCTGAAAACCCATCTCTTCAGGGAAGCCTACCCCACCCCCTGCTAACTTGCCGACCTCCTCCACTTTTCCTACCACTCCATCCCCCACAGTTATCTCCTCCTGTACCACTATCCCCTCCCTCCTAGATTGTAAGCTGAAAGAGCAGGGCCCTTAATCTCCTCATGTTTTGCATTGTATTGGTATTGTTCTGTCACATGTTCTGTCTCCCTTTGTAATGTACAGCACTGAGCGAACTATTGGCGCTTTATAAATACTGTATAATAATAATAATAATAATAAGTTAATAACATTTCAATTATACAACTATACAAGATGCTGCTGGTGAAAAAACACTTTGTGACGATCCAGAAGCGGTAGAAAAAGTGTTTCTGGAATGAGAACTCTGGAGGGAAAAGCTACTTGTACTTTCATTATGGTCTCATCATTAAATTACATAAAGTATTTTTTAAGTCTTTTGGGTACCTCTGGCATGCAATGATGTGTTTGTCATCCTTGTAGCATTAAGAAAAGAATATTGTACTATGGAAATGTTTCTAAATTACAGATGTTGGTTTCACCATTTTACTGAGATGAGGAAAATAGAAAACAATTTACTGGCCAGACTATAGGTAAACATTATGTTGTGATGGTGGACAACATTTTTAGGAACCATTTAAAGGTTGTAAAGATAAACAAATTTTTCAGACAGATTTAGCCTTGTGCCTGTCAATTAAGGCCTGAGAGATCAGGCACTATTATCTACGGTATCCCAACAATCACCCAACTGTAGGAGGTACAAGATAGCGTTCACAAGCAAACTAAACTGGAGTCTATCTTCTGCAGTTACTCATAGTGGCAGAAATGCATATTTCTCTTGTTTGAGTACTGCATGGAGAAGTACAGTGTTACTTGAATTGTATTCCAGGATTTGCTTGGCTTCAGCTGAGAGACCTTGCAATAATTTAAGACTTTGAGTAAAGTCACAGAAATATTTCCTTATGGTCTTCATGTTATATAGTTTGAATGCCATGTCATAGATATATTAGTTATCACTGTAAAAGAGCATAGAAACACAGAAAAGTGACGGCAGAAAAAGACCGCTTGGTCCATTGAGTCTGCCCTTTATTTTATTGTTTTGATTTTTTTTTTCGTTTCTTTTTCTTCTTTTTTTTGAGAGGGGGAGGAGTTGGGTTTCTTTTTAATTTTTTTCCAGAAAAAAAAAACAGCTTAGGAAGAAAAAGTGGAAGAAAACTGTTTTTTTTCATAATTTTTTCTGTTTTTCCAGGCCTTCCCATCTCTAGTTGAGGGCAGAGGTGCTTTTCCTGACCTTCCACTTCTGTAACAATAATATTAAACTAACCTTTGTCTGATCACCACAAACCTAAAACATTAATACATTTTTCACATTCAAAGCAATGTCACCCATCCATCCATGTCTCCATGCTTAATTTTGCTGAGAAATAACTTTGAAAAATGCCTTTTAGCATTTCTATCTGTGGCCACCTTGAGTAAGGTCGGATGATTTGTGTAGTATTTACTCCATGAAATTCAACAGCCCTTAGCTCACATATGAAAGCAGGAGGATGTGCTTAGCTGGGAAACCCCCACCTCCAGATGAAAGAAAAAAAAAAAATGCACATGAAGACTCCTAGGATGTATGACATAATTTTAATCTAGCCAAAAAACAGGAAAAAACTGAAGAAATTCAAAAAGAAAGTTTAAAACAAATAAATATAATATAATCTCCTATCTATTTACTAAGGCTAGAGCATAAAAAATAGGTAATGTTTATTAAGAGAGTTTAGTTGTGCTTTAAGGGCCTGTACAGATAGCTTCAGTTTGAGATATTTTCTAGATCATAGAGCTTGAGCTTGTGTCGAAGAACATTGAACATGAACATGAGCTGGGAATCTGGGATGGCCACACACTGAATGAAATTTGGTCAGCTGAATTTCAGTGTATTGCCAGCCGTACCATCTCCCTCCTCTCCCCTTTTCTTTTGATTTCGTGTTACAATAATGCAA